ATTTACGATTTCTCCAACAAACATTTCGCTCCATGAAAAACGATTTTCGCTAAATATAATTCATTAAACTCTCATTTTAGACACAACAATGCTAATTATATCATATTAATTTCAATTAAGTAAAATGTAGTCTGATGAATGGCGAAGGCGAAACGGCAAAAACTTCTCTGCTAAACACCTGAATTATGCGGGAAAGCGTGATTTACGGAGCGTTATAACTTTATAAAAATGTAAATAATTACATTTTTTTTCTACGTATGAAAAAGTTTAGAAAATATTTTCCTATTTTAAAACTAGTAATTTCGTTGATATAAGATGAAAGTTGAGCTGTGTACTGTACATATTTTATCTCTGAAAGTTTTACCCAAATTTTTTTTTTTTGTATAAAAAGTTTGAAAGTGTAAGATTAATCTTATCATTTACTTATCATTACATTTTTTCTCCAAGAAGAATCTTCCTTACTACCACAAATGATAGAGTAGTCTAGTTTTGCAATAGATTTCACCGAGCTGATTGAGATTTTATCGCCATAATATGTTGATATATCTTAACTTATGGTAAATGAAAATCGAATAAGAAACAAAATTTTTGTGTATAAAATAAAATAGCATCGGATGAAGTAATGAGTTTTTAATTAAGAGAAAAAAAAATGGTTGAAAATTATTCTAAGATTAAAAATTTTTAAATTATAATTAAATGATGAAGACTTTTTTTTTTCTATATTTTCTCGGAATCGATCTATTTAAAAATTACTTTAAACTTTTTACTAATAAAAATAATAAATTTAATATATTGGAAATTTTATAAATTGTTTGAATTATTTATTCCATTTTACTCAAATTATTTCGAGTTATTTATTTAAAAAAAAAAAGAAGAAAGTTTTATTTAAATGCAAGTCTATATATTACCGAATCGTAATGTAAAATGTTTCTTCTAATGTATATAATTAGAATGTTAATTAACAAATTAAGATAATTGAAAATGAAATGTTCTAGTTTATTAATGATGTTGACTTCTATTTTTAAAGTACTTGTGTCATAGTATCTATAATATTTCTCCAAGTATGAAATGGAATTTCTTTTCTTCTATTTGTAAGAGACAGCATTTCCAATCTGGGATATTAGTTACGGTTGGAAGAATATGTGTTAGAAACGGCGACGTTCATCCCACGAAAACCAAGAGAAGTGTCCCCGGATGGACGAATTGAAAGGATGCAATGATGGAATACCTAGAGACGGGACGTGTCCTGCTCTGGACTTTTTCCTCAACACAGGAATTCCATTTCCTGAAGACTGATAATGGCTTTCGCACTTGTCCACGGCTTCTTACTACTGTACAGGTGAAGGGTTTCGGGCTACTTTTCTTAAATAAATACGACTAGAAAGACTAGAAAAACAACTATGTATATATAAGTTGTCAGCCAAAAATCCGTTAATTTTTTTTTTTTTTTTTAAAGTCAAATTTACAAATTTTCCGTAAGCTAAATAAATTATATCGAAGAGAGTTGTATATTTTTCATTAACTTTCACTCTCTTTGTGTCAATTTGCGCGTGTGTCATTCCGCTTTCCCTTTCACCGGCACGTGCTACTTTCCCCCCTTTTTTTTATATTAATTCTGGTTTTTAAAAGCGAAAGTGAAATTCGATTTTTGAGAGAAAAACTACTTTCATTTTCAATCACTTTAAGTTAATTTCGATTTCAATTCGGCTACTTTCTGTTTCAACTCGGCTTCTTCAATTTTTCGATTATTTTAAGTCGGTTTTGCATTTATCAAATTTTTAACCTTATTTTATTTTCGATTTTAATCATTTAAATTGAATCACCATTTTGCTAACTTTAATTAAACATTATTACGCTTAGCGACGATACATTTTATTCATAAAGGGGGGGGGAAAATAATCGAGTTTATTGAATTACAGTAAAAGGCAACGACAGATTTTAACAAGAAAATATTTGATATATAAAAAAAATAGACAAGAATTGAAACTGGGAATGAAAAAGAAACGAAAAAAAATTGTAACAAACGAGTTATCAAGCTATAAAAAATATAAAAATTCTGTGATTTTGACCGGTAACTCGGTACTATCGAAATTCCGGTGTCCACTCCCCCCCGTTTTTTTTTCTTTTTTTTTATACAAAAATTGTAGCTTGGGGAAAGTTGAAGCCGCTGAGACAGAGAGAGACGAGAAGGTTGCAGTTTTAAAAGCTGATGTCAGCACAAAGCGTTCCGGATGGAGGGGGGATGGAAGAGATCGAACGTCTCATGGTCTCCTGCCTTCTGACAAATGATATAAGACTTCTGCTTTGGCAGTTGCAGAAGACAGAAGAACAGTTGGTATACAATTAATGAATAATTTCAAATGGGAAAAGATAGAAAGACTTGGCAATTTTCGTAAAAGTATCCTAAAATATTATCATGGCTTCCATTCCTTACTCAAATATTGAGCCGAGTTTTAAACATGTATCAAGTTCGAGTTAATAGACGTATTGAGAGTTTATTTATTGTTAAAAGATAAGAAATCAATACTTTAATTCTTCACCTAGAAATAATAATAATAATAATAATAAATAAATATATTTTTATTATATTTGTTGTATCTCTTCTATCATTTTTGCTTTCAGAACAGTTTAGAGAATTATTTTATTCGAATAAATTTATGTAAAATGTTTCAGTCGGAAATTTTTATTTTTAAGTGAATTTGTTAACAGTTTATTTACCCAGTAAATCGTCTCTTTAAAATTAATTGTTATGCAAATTATCCTTTGATGTTTCTCAGACTTATTTATTACAACAATACATTGTGAAAAAAGGAAATAAATACATGTCTAAATTAGAAAATTAATAATATATAAGTTTATTTAATATGCCATTTAATTAACGAAATAATACAACTTGACTATAGATAAAAAACCTATTTATTATTATTTAACTTAGTAAAATAAAATGAATTACCTAATTTAATTTACTTTCATTGTTATTCTGTCTCATCATGTTATTTGCATTACTATTAATTAACAGTTATTTTATTCAAGTCCATAAATAATCCTAAAATTATTTTAATTATTCATTAAATGGCTCAACTTCCAATAATTTAAGTACTCACCATCATTTATATATGGTGGGTTTATATGTGGACGATAAAGATCCTTATGTAATTTTAAGAAAAAAAAAACTAGATAAATACAAGATACGGTTTTAACATAAACAATATATAAAAGCTTAATTTGCAAAGTCTGAAATTAAAAAATGAATTATCAATAAGTCTTTTTGCATTATCCTGTTTGGAGTAGTTGACTGAATGGCTGCAAGATGAGGAAGATGATGCGGATCCTTAATAGCATGGAGGAGGAGGAAGAAGAGGAGAATTCGAATTCTAGATCTGTAAATAGTTCGAATCAGGAATAATTTTCGAATTTCGTTAACGTTACTGATCTTAGTGTAGCTTTAGAGCCAAACTTAGGCCAAAGAAAACTAGTCAATTGCCTAAGAGGCACACATCATAATAGGGTTTGTAAATCAATTTGTAGATTAATATATTTAAAAACTTTGAATGTATAATAACCAATGTGATACATTCGCAGCTTTTCCGTGAATGTCCAATGGTAAATAAATTACAACATATAAAATTGTTGACACTTTTATTGGGAAGCCCGAAGTGTTGAATAGGGATCGAAATTTTCTTAATCTGGCAATGTGAAATTTAGATCCGTTTATAGTAAAGAAAACTGAAACTGTCTGTTGAAATCAGTGAAAAAATCGAAATAATGTTTAAAATATTAGTCATTTACTCTATAAAAATATATCTATATAAAAAAGTAACATTATACGTATGCAGTTTTATATTTATAAATGAAATGATATTTATTCGCAGAAAGGAATTTATAAAAACGTGTCTAGAAAACCGAGATTTCGTTAAAGAAAACAATAAAAAAAAAAGTAACTACAGATCTAACTAATCGATTTTTTTTTAAAAAAAAACTTTTCATATTTTAAACTTCTTTCTATAAGTTTTATCTCGGGAATTAACTTTGTGTCGTTCTCATTTCCTCATCAAAATATAAATCTTGAAAATATTGATTGGTGGGGGTTATTTTATATCAACCTGTTTTAATCGAATGTAGCATTTCTTTATGACAAAAGTTTATAAAGAAGAGCAGAATGTAAAAAAACAAATTGCCATTGTAAACATCGAAGTCAATTAGGATAACAAATTTCAGAAAATAGAAAATTAGATTGAAAATAATCAATCTTTCTATAGAAAATGTTGAAAAGAATTCAGTTGATATTGTTGGAAGAAAGATAGCTTTTTTCACTATTAAATCCACGTTTTTTGGTCTGTGAAAAATGGGTTTATGATTCAAAATGTAATCAAAACTGGCGAGAATAAGAATTGATGATATAGCATTCCTCAGAGAAGATAAAATTTGAACATCTCAAATATCAGTTTTTGGAGAGTAAAAAGAAGCGCGATGGAAAATTTAAGATTCCTCAGCAGCTCTTTTATCAATAAATTACAAAACTTTACGTGAATTTCAAATATTATTTTAATTTAGCAATCAATTAAAAAGTTCTTAAATCGACTATTTTACGATAGAAAATGGAAATTTATAACCTTAATTTTCTTCGATAAAGTTAGAATTCCGAAACGGGATTAAAATTTAAATACGTACGATTTTATATTCTAATCACGTTAGAATTACGAAAACCCATCGATTTAAATGGTTTGAAGAATCGTTGGCCAGATTGGGAAATAGGTTCTGCCAATATGAATTTTATATAAATGTAAATTGTAAATAAAATATGATGGATTTTGTTCAATTGTATACATAATCGGTGTATAACTCTCATTTATATAATGCTCTATACACTAGAATGGTAAGAGTGTATGTGTGTACAGACGGATGCACCTTCAAAAATTCTACTTTAATAAAATATTTAAATTAAAATCTCTTATAACAATTCATTTATTAATTATATTTAATTAATTTTACCGTTGCAGAGTGTAAAATAACACGATGTTTCTTCAAGAAATGCACTCGGAATGCCGAAAAAGTACCCGACCGAAAAATAAACTCAAGCTTGCAGGATCATTTCTTCGAAAGTAAGATTGCATTTTTATTTATTTATTTTTTTTTCTCTGTATGTTTTTTTTCTTGTAGTTAATATAAATTTAGGTAGAAAAGTTCGACCATCATTTAATAGGGAAGAAGTGAAAGGAAAAATTAAAAAAATATAAGTAGAAACAAGATTTAAGAACAAGAGGGGGGAGATAAAAAGTGGGCGAAGTTTTAAAAAAGGGTAGGAACAAGAAAGTAGGAGGACAAGAAAGAGAGAAGACAAACGAACTGGCGAAGTCTATGAGGTGGAAAAGAGAGAGTCATTTTTCCCTTCGGACTTTGTTGAATTCGATTGGCCAGACTGTAGAATCGGCTTATTTTCACTGATCCATTTCTCCGACTCACCGATTTGTTTCGAGACTGATCAAATTATAAGGTTCGCTTCCAACGTTGTCTATCCGAGCAGAAACCGAACAAGAGAAATGGCGAAAAAAATTGTCAACTCGACTTTTAATTTTATAAACAAGACGAATTATTATTTTCCGCTTTATATATTTAAATTTTTAAAGTTTAAAATTCAAAAAAAAAAAAAGAAAAAAATCCGCAACTTTTTACAAACTTTTTACGTCTTCCATTTTATTTTTTTAACTCGAGAATACCTTTCGACATATATTACAATTTATGAATGAATTTTGAATAAACTACATAACTAATTTCTCGAATTAATATATTTTATATAAAATTTACTCTATTTATTATTGTAATAAGAATAAAAATGACTTTTCTTCTACCGTATAATTCAGTTTTAACGTAGATTTTTAACAGGAAACGGATAATTAATTTTTTTCAATATAATTCATTATCTTCTTTAGGATAATGGTAACCATCGAGACGAATGTCTACAACCATTTTCAAAAACCTGCTTCGATTAGGTTTATTTTATTAAATTAACTAAGCATAATTTCATCCATTACAATCAGAAAATAAAATATGACAATCTTTAAAAAAAAAAAAAAAAGGCTGATTAATAAGCCAATTGGATTTGCTGTATTAACGTTGAAGTATCCTTAAAGTTTAAGAAAAATTAATAAAACGACAGAGCCTGAAGGGGTGACAATGTGAAAAATGAGGAAGAAGCTAAATAATCCGGTCTCCCGTTGCGGTTAGAGAAACGTTCTGATTTGAAGAAAGTCAAAAACGTAAAATCCTTTCGGCCAAAAATTCTGGTTTTTTTCCCCCTGAATTTTTTTCCCTACACGACAGATGAATACAGTATATAATTCGATTTGAAGTAAACGGTTAATTTGTCAAATATCTTAATGCATTCTGTCATTTTTAAATTGCTAAAATAAAAGAGTAGTGAAATCGCACTCGAGAATCTCCGAAGACATTTTTCTATTTTTATATTTTAATCGGCAATCTTTGTATCTTTTGTCAACATCCGATCTTCGTTTCTTCTCCCCTTAGATTTTCTCTCTTTAGAAAAATCTTACACGATAGTAGCTAATTGAAAAGAGGGTCTTGTTGACTCTAGCTCAAGTTTGCAGTTAATTTACTTACTATTGATCACATGTTTTGATGGCCTACAAGCCGATTACCGATAGACAGATAGAGAGATGGCTGCTTCTTTTTACTTAACAGATACAGTTACAGGCTTTACCGAGCATTGTAGTTGTAATTAATTGAATCACCTATCGCCGTTACAGTGTAATTCGAAAACTTTAATTGCCACCAGAGGCTGACTCTTGGTCACGCTTCCGTTGCCAGATATCGATCATATCTACGCAATTACATTCAAATTTCAACACCTGATTCGTATTTTGTACATTAATTCAAAAATTAAGTTTAAAAAGTTCAGGGGGAAGAGAAATAAAATAAAAAAAAAAGATGAAGAACGGAGCCGTGCAGAAATCAGGAATTGGTAACGACACGCGCCATTTTCTACTCCCGAATACTCGTAAAAAGTAAAAGTGTAAAGAAAGAGAAAAGTTAAGTTACCGTTTGGACAGTTCCCCGAGTTTATTTTGTAATTTGTTAATTGATTAGTGGGTGTCGTAATGAATAAAGATTGCAATTAAATTTTAAACAGATGTAAATGAATAATGCATTGATAATATGGGAAATGAAAATAAGATGAATAAGTTGTAATAAACGATGTGTGCAGCGTAACTAATCTAAGAGATTAATGTAGTAAATTGTAAGATAAAGGAAGACGAATACATAAAAGAAAACTTGTTGGAGAAAAATGCCATTCTCGTAATAAATGTGTTTAAACGCCGGGTTATAATACGGTAAAGACAAAAATAAGATATAATCTACATTTAATCATAAAATATAATTTATTGATAAACTAAAAATGTGAAGGTTAATATATATAAAAGCTAATATTAAATCCTGATGTAAAAATGAGAGCAATATCTAAACGGTACGCACGGATATGGAAAAATTTCTCCTTTACATTAATAAGAAAACCTGAATTGATAAGTTGATGCTTTGCTGTTTATTAATATTATGCACAATAATAAAATTTATGAAGACCACTTTATTGCTTCTTTTTAACAGAAAATATGAAAAACTTTATAACTTCTGTTCAATAAATAATACATTATTAATGCTTTTTTTCCTTCTTTCAAATGAACAGTTGAAAGACGTGTAATTCGATGTTTACGTATTTAAAATTAATTGTATGCGGCATGAATGACACGGATTACATTTCAATTTTTTCTATTTTTACTCTTAAGCTGTTGAACTTCTGTTTGTAATAAGAATTCTATATATAAGTTAACTCGCCCTATGACTTATTTCCTGCTCTAATAAGTTATGACATTTATATACATTTTTATGAGATCTTGGTCTAGTTTTTTGTCATTTCGAAACAACAACACAGTAAAATTTTAACTCATTCAATTATTACAAATAAATTCACATAATGTGTGATTTTTAATATCATAATTAACCTTTGATTTCGAATTTAATATAAATAATGCACTAAGGTGATATAGAATGATAATACTTAGAATTTTTTTCTCTATTAACCTTGATTGTTTTATGTGTTATAGACATATATATAAATTATGATATAAAAATACTGTATATGACATTAAGGTTAATAGATTTATATATATTATATATATATGTACTATTTATAGATCATCAAGTAAAAAGTAAACCATCAAGAAACGAGAAATTTCTGCTTAGTAATAATAATAATAAAATTCACTTTAAAATACTAAATATATGAACTTTCAATAATATTTTCGGTATAATTTAGTATGCTATTAAGTAAATGATAAGTAAATGAGCAGTGAAATAATGATATTACTTATTACTATGTTAACCATTACATTTTTTATTAATTTCAATTCTTCGCTTAAGTTTTGCATTTTAAACTGGTTTTTTCCCCATATATTTATATCAATAAAACGATTACTTTTGAATAATTTCATTAATAAAACTTAAAGCTAAAAATATCATAGAAATTTGAACAGTCCAATGAATATTGAAATCGTCTGATCGTATAATGGAGAATATATAAAAGTTTCCAAAAAACTTTCAAAACTATTTGATATTTGTTTTTATTGCCATAATTTAATTCTTACATTTAATTTCTTAAACATTTCTTTTCAAGAGTTTCCAAATGTTCGCTCGGTTATTGGCTATCATTAATCATAGTTATTCTAAGATATGCAGAGTGATGTATAACCATTAAATATCTGTCTTTCCCCCTCCTATCGACAGAAACGTCAACTGAGCATCATTCATCTCATACCAATCACATCTTTAACTGCTATTTGCTTATCATTTTTTCCCAACCTTAAAAGTTTCGAAACTTTTTTACTTTAATATGTAATATGAAACTTTTTATACCGAAATTAGTTTACTTTTTTACAGTTCGGAGACGATTCTTTCGTAAGAGATCGACCGCACATTACATTAATAGAGGTGAGTAATATTGAATACCATTTTACAAATATCAAATATCATTTACAGGGATAAAAAAAAATAATATAAAAATATAATTACAAAGGCTTTCGAGCGCTTTAATTATGTTTTCGTATAGATTTATAAAACGAATGATAATGAAGACATTAAGGCTCATAATTAATTAATTTCCGGATATTAGTCTAAGTAAATTTTGAATTATCTCTGTTAAAATATTTCTCTATTATTTAAATAATGTTCGAACAGATAAATCTAAGTAATTTTATTCTTTAATCGATGATTTAGATGAGTTTTTTTGTTTTTTTCCTGGGAAAAAATGGTAGGCCTATAGAGTAAAATTAAAAAAAAATAAATGTTATTTATTTAGCATTAAGTACTTTTAGATTTAAAAACAGTTAATATAAAATAAACTGGTTTAATTAATCAATTTTAAAGAAATGACCAAGGATTTCTTCATTATTTCATAATTGTGAAATTTAATTCAACGAAAATTCAACAGATGCTGATGAATGTTTATCATTGATGTGATTTTAATGACTTCATTAACACTAATGAATTCATTTGAACAATTCATAGAATCTTATCTTAGAGTTAACTTGAATCAAAATTGACCTTTTTAGAATTATTTAATCAATTGCTTTATATGAATATTTGAATTTACCTTTTAAATCCGGACTGGAAATTTCAAATTTTTTTTTCATTAAGCTTTAAACGTTTCTCCTAAATTAAATTAATAAAACTCGATTGTTTTTAATTTTACACCATCGAAGGAAATTTAGAAATTTCCCGTATAAGATTCTAGGTTTTATTTTCTCGGATATGTTCTTCGTGTTTTCGGCTCGAGTCATAGAAAATGGATTGATTCTGGGTATAATTACAGTATCATTCTGCAAAACATTAAGATTTTTATGTAACGTAAGTCTAGGTTATACTTTATATTTATAGCGAGTCACGCTAAAAACGAATATTAATCTATAACCAACGGCTTGACAAATCCCAATTCCCATTAGAGAAATGAATGTTTATTGGAACAAATTTTAAAATCCTTTACAGTTTGTTACGGGCATGAATAACCATTGGCTAAATATATATATACCCCATATAAAAGTATTTCCCTCCAAACTTCGGCATTAGTGGATTTTAAAACTTCACCAAATAAATAACTCGAGAGAGAAAGAGAGAAGGAAAGCGAAAAAGAAGAATTACAAAGCAAGACAAAGAAATGGCATTTTTCGAATTGCCATTTTCTCCCATACAAGATCGAAGAAGAGGAAGTACTAGACTTAAGGAAAAAAAAAAACGGGAAGTAATTTATAGCGAAATTTAAAGGTGTCGTAGTAATGGTGGTTCCGTCAACTTAAAATAAAAACTACCTTGAAAACAGCTGAAGCGTAAAAGTGCAAGGGACTGTAAATTATTGAAGCTTGTCGACTACATGCTGTAACCACGTGATCAGACGATATTAAAAGTAAGACGCCGAGATTTACGCCTTTTCCTTATTACCTGGAAAATACTATTCATCATCGACAATCTCTGAGAATATGCAAGAATTCTTGTTTAGATTCCACATGAATCTTAAATATCTGAACCAAGATGTATTTCCCGAATCTAATAGATATAAGTAATGGAATTTGATTTTTTAAATGTTTTGCGCTTCACTTGTCTGTCTGAGATTACTTTGAGAATTGCTTTCGCTGAATTTACTGTTATGGAAGACAAAATATATTTTGTTAGAGATGGAACTTTGTATATGTTGAGCTGCTAAGAATAAATAATCGGGATCGATACAGTTACATAATTCCCGAAAAAAATTTATGAATTAATTAAATCTCGTAAACTTTTTCATCGTTTAAGTTTATACAATATGCCAAGGATCACTAATTTATTATTGAACTTATCCGAGTAGTGGAAAATTAAAGATTTTCATTTAATTTCAATAAATTTATTAGAATTTCTATTTAAATAAATCTTTTTATGAAGATTTAACTTGTTAACAATCTTTATTGCTAACAGTTTGTATAGAGCTTGTACACGTTGTCGATTTTTGTTCTCGAGTTTATAAAAGACAGAACGTTGCTTTATTTCCGAGGTATAACTTTAAACAATATTTCAAATTAAAATATATATATATATATATATATATATGTCGCCATCTGCCGTGGAAATTTGAAATCAACAGAATTACTCCCCTCGGTTCTAAAAGAGTATATTATAAAATTTATTATGGTAAGAATAAAAATGAAATCTTTTAAAAAATCTCTCTTTTAGCATCGTGGCCCGGTGCATTCTTCGTCTTCTATATAACTCCATAATCATTTATTGTAGTTGCTGCAAGTTATCGTTTCATCACTTTCTAGTTTTAAAGTCTCCTTATCGTTACTTCACTTCCTGGTTCCAACAACTTCCGCCAAAAGGCGTTTTAACGGTCGACTATTTCCGCTTCTGTCCCTTTCCCCATCAATTGTCTTAGACTTTGCCATTAAAGTGAATGGCGCAAAAGTTGAAGACTGACGGATATGACCATAGAGTGTTCCTTACTGCTCCCCTTTGGCTAACTTTAAGATTAAAATATACCATATATATATAATTTATATTTTTCCATCGAATAAAAAGAAAAATCTCTAGAGAATCTCGTCTTTACGAGAATATCGATGAACGCATAAGGTTGATGGCTTTAAATTTATTCTAATAGTTTTAATTTCGGCTCTTTGGGACGTATGTCGCACGATACGTAAAGCCGCCTGCAGGGAATTGCTGGCAAAGATAAGTTACTTTAACCCAGATCAAATCTCCCAGAGGTTAATGGAGTTTTGTTTTGCTTCAGAATGTCATATGAAGCTGGGGTGATTTGTTCAATGTGAAACACTTGAATTATTTGGATATGGATCATTCGATATTGCGTGTCTAACTGAAACACTTTCTTATATATGAGACTGTAGCTGTAAGCAATAACCGGGACCAATCCAATCCGGAAAGGAGTCTAGAAACTTTCGAATATTGTCGAGCGAGTTTTTTTTACCAAAAAAAAAAAAAACTTTGATTTCGAAATATTGTCGTTTCTCTGAAACGTGATCGATTCATAAAGATTTTTTCCAGGTAGAATAGACCTATCCACTTTATGGACTCATATATGAATAAATTCGAAATCTCTACCTCAAAATAATTCGGATTTCTTTCATACAACTTCAGAATTCCTCTCTTTATTTACAACGTGTATGAAATATTGACACCTATTGCTCTTCCACGTTAAAAAAAAAAAACACAAACAAAATAATATTTCAAATATTTTTATCACAATTTATTTAAATACTACCCTTAAAAAACGCATATATTTTTTTTAAAAAAATCTATTAATAAATTCGTCTACATAAGAGAAAAGATTCTACGCTTTGTTTTCAAGTTTATTGAGCTGTAATAATAAATTAAAATCAAAGAGAGAAATAAAAATTCGAGTTTCTTAAACTACTAAGTATTAAGTTCAAATAGCAAATGCAAATCTTTCAAATTTATTCATATGTTAGTCTATTAAACGAGATTTTAATGTCCTTTAATAAAGAGAAAATTTAAGATTCTTTATTAACAAACCTATTAACATGCTTTCAGCTTCTCTTCAACGAGAACAACATGAATTTAAAGGTTCCTACTATTACTTCTTACATCTCAATAGCAGTAGTAATGAGTTATTCAAAGTAATAACTATTAACTAAACTACCATTAGTTTATATAGTTTATAACCTGAAATTCTTTATATTAAAAAAAATAAGAGAGAGAGAGAGAGAGAGAAAGAGAAAGAGAAAATTTCGCTACACGCCACTAAATACAACCGATAAAATGGTTAAAATTTACTCGTAATGATCGAAAAAACGTTTCTGGTGTTGTGTAGGAGAGAAATGATGAAAATAAATTTTTGCTTCCCCTTTCTCGGGTCATAGAAAAGGATTTACGACACTCGTTACGAGACATTTTTGGATCATAAGAAATGATTTCTTGGAAGAAACAGAAAAGAGAAAAGTTGAATCTTAATTGAAATCGTTATTTTTCTCTTATATATATATTTTTTTCTAGTTTTCAAACTTTAAAAAATACTCTATTTAGTTACATAAATCAATAAGACAATTTTAAAAAAAATATACTGTATATACACAAATACGTGACGTCACTTGTAAATCGTAATGACGTCACAGAGTTTGATTAAGGAAAGTAATTTTCAAAATTTATCAATTCAATTTAAGAAGTTTTGTTTTATTATTTTATTATTATCTTTTTATATTAAATAGTTTTAAGTTTAATTAATTAAACTCGTACAAAAAAAAGAGAAGGAAAAAAAATCGAAAATTGATTAAAATATTTCAAAACAAATTGAACTAATTTGTGTTAATTCGTTTGTTTAAAAAATTTTTAAATATTTTTAATATTTTCATTTAAATTTTCTGTAATTTCGTTTTTAAATTATATCAGTTTGTATTTAAAAATTAATGGAAATGACGTAAAATAAATGAATTGTTTAATGTAAAAATAAATAAATAATATCGTAATTAAATGATCATTTAATTTAAATAACGAATTAATAAATTTATAAATGTCATTTAAAAAAATCTTCATTTAGGAGTTACGAGAATAACGTATAGATTAATTCTTAAAAGTTTGAAAATTGTATGACGTCGTTTGACGACATCAACTTCAAATTTGATTGATTCAAATGTTTTTATATTCTCGAGAAAATTTAAGTTATTAAAATATATCAGAAGACATTATTTTTATTAAATAATTCACAAAATTACTTTCAGAAAACGAATTATTGATTACGTCACGAATGATCTCGGTTTTTCCCCGATTGTCGTCAGGTGCTAAAATATTTAAATTTGAAAATATTTACACTGATTAAATTTTATTTTTACTCAAAATTCGTACAAACATAATAATTTATATTTCAAAAAGCGAAAATGGGTTTTTAATTTGAAATGAAATGGCGTCTTTTTTTTTTTTAAATTATAAAGCGATGCCATCGTACTTAAATTTATTAATAGCATATTAATTATTTGTGAATGTATGCACTAATTTTAAAACTAATCATTCAGTTTAAAAAATTTATGAAATAAAAATGAAGATATATTACATGTAATAGGTCATCTGTCATCTGAAAAATTTAATTTTTTTTTTTTTGGTACAATTTTTTCTATAATTTGATAAAATGAAAATTTTACTTAAGCCCAAAAATTTAAAAAATTCGAAAATAATGCATCATGCTACATAATATATTTTGTAAAATTTTAAATATTAATTACAATATTTTTAAATATAATAAAATATTGAATATTATAAGGGAATATTATTTTATTTCAATGTATTTAATTACATATTTTATGGAATTTTTAAACATAACGAGGCCCATTAAGATCATAATCATTTTAAAATATTTGACAATATTATTTGCGTTTATAATATTGTTATATAAATGCTTATTTATTTTTACGTTTTAACGTATTTATAACTGAATTTATTATCGAAATTAAATACAATCAATTAATTTCTAAAATAAATCGACGTTGTCACAATTTTACTACCTACGTAATTGATGTGACGTCATCGTTTAAATTTAATAACCTGTTTTAATTAGTTTAAAAATAAATTTCGGTTATTATTATAAAATTAAATACGGGTAATTTTATTTTTCCTTAATTAATAATTTTAGTAAAATGTCGACTGTATTTAATTAACTACATAAAATAATAATAATAACTGACGAAACATTTCTTTTTAATTTCGTATTTAAGTTATTAATATTAAATAATATTTAAAAATCGATGAATTTTTGAATCCAACACTTTTAACCCTGTCAAGATCGTATGCCTTATTTAATGACGTCACCATTTAAATTTAGGTAAAATCTTTTAAATTAATTAATATAACAATATATATTGTTATCAAGTATTAATATTCTTTACGTTAATTACGTCGTTAGTAAAATATATATTTAAAATTTCGATGCGTTATTTATTCTTTCTCTCATTCTATAGCGCCATCTAATGTGCGAAAATGATATTATAGTTAATTCACGAAATTCGTGCAGGGACAACTCTCTTTATAAAAGATAAAACTTGATTGATGACCAAAATGCGAACGAAAGATTATCTTTATCGTTTTATGACATTTTTTTTAAATATATGGCTATTTCCTGTAAAAGACTACTAAAATATCTTGCAGATTGCATTAAAAAAATTTGCAAAACTATATTTTTACATTATTATCGAACTGAATAATACTATTACAAATTTGGATAGATTAAAATATTAATTTAAATTTTTACATCAAAATTTAAATAAGTAAAATGTTGTAAAATTAAAAATTTTTTTTCTTTTAAATTTTTTGTATTATATTCTGAAGAAAAGAGGATATTTTAATTTTTCCCTCTTTTCTTAATCAGTTTAAGTGATGTAAACTTTTAAAATTTCAAAAATTTTAAGGTTAGAAAATAAATTTGATGGATATAAATCTATATTATTAGCCTTAGAATTTTTAATTAGTTTGATAAACAGCGATAAAACTTTTATCGCAAAAATCCGGTATGTTACTTAAAAGGATTATAAAATTTTATATTTAAAAGAAAAAAATCTCCTAGCTCTTGTGATAAACCAATGACAGAAAAGTAAGGTAAGAAGAAATCTACCAGAAAAAAATTTTCTTCTTGATGTATATGGTAATACAGTATAACTTTAAATTTAACCAGATTTTCTATGGTGTTTTTTTCTAAGAAAGCAATAAATGGAGTTTTAATAAGGGACTAGCATTGACATATATCACTTGAGCCTCTTAGATTTGAAGCTTTCATTCGAAATTTTTCTTAGAATTTTCTTAAAATGCATTGAATAATTAATCTGGTATTTTAAACATTATACTGGAAAGATTTCTATTTTATATCAACTTTCTCATAAATTTAATTTACTTTTTTTTTATTATTTATTCCCAACATTCTACGATTTAATGGGTTTTACGATTTTTCAATAAGAGGAGTTTTCAAAATATTTTCTTGAATTTTGAGCGGTTACGTTTTTACAGCTCGTTTATTTAAATATTTCTTGAATAATCTAGAAAATTTCTAGAAAAAAAATTTTTTTTTTTTATAACTAACCGAATTTATTTTATACATTTTTTTATATCGAGCGATTCATAAATTACTACGAAAATTTCATTAAGAATAATAATTAAAAAAAGAAATTTTCTCTGATTGCCTTTCTATTTTTTTTTATTTGCAAATTGAAATTAAAATGTAATTCGTATCAATGAAATATTGCATTTTTTAACCTATAAATTTAATTTCTAATCTGAAATTTCTTGATAAAAATAAGTTATTAATATATATATATTTTAAGAAAAGAACGAATTGATTTAAATTGTATTTAGTTTTTTATCTAAGACTCCTATCTGAGCAATAACAACATTACGACAGTTTTTAGCATGATTCTTGAAAATAAAAATAGCCAGAGGACGTAAAATCCAGCCGTATCCTCGACTGTAAAGTTGAAAGGTCGAACTAGCAAGTTGTGTTACACATTCTTCTCAGTTTTCACATCATTTATCTAAATTTCAGATGAAATTTTCGAAGTTTTATAATCTATATATAGGCCTATATTAAAAGAATGAAATAAATTAATTATACATATTAATATATCATTAAAGAAAGATAGATAACTTACAACTTTTTTTATCTTTTTTTTTACACAAAAATATTTTATGCGATTCCGTTAAGGAGGTGATCATTAATCTACATTCCTTATCAGCCATAAAGAATCCATTTCTGTTATATCAGTACCCTGATGATTTTTTAAGGAATAAACTAATCGTTATATCTATTAATTGCTTGAAATAAGCCATTAATTACATTCTTATCGTTAATTGTCTGGTAATTTGCGATTCATCAGATTACCTTTTATTATTTTGATCTTTAAAGATGGAGAGTGAAAGTGTGGTACAGAAGTTCTTAATCTGTAGCTGTTAATGGCTGTCTCGTTTAATTTATAGTACTTAATGATGTATTTAAAAGGAATATTAACAAATTTTGGGAAATTTTCGAACTGCTTATCTCTACTCTTTAAACAAATTCAATAACGGATTACTTTAAAGCTTAATCCGATTATCTTTTGACGGAATTTACAACTTGATATTATTCTGTAAACTGATAATGTTGGATAATTAAAAGATTTCATATTCTATAAATATATTTTACAATATTAAGTTTAGAATAGTTGTAAGATTTTCGGTAAATATTTATTAGAAAATATAATTTTTCTCCCCCTTTTTTTGTTTTAATAAAGAATTATTATTATTTAATTTTATTCTGTAGAAAATATATAAATGAAACGAATGAATTTTAAATAATTTTAAATAATTCAGTTTAAGAAAAAAGGAGACAAGTCTATCAAAAATTTGTTTGCTGTTGTTATATTATTTTTTGAATTTTTAATGTTTAAATTATCTTACTGTCATTACAGGAAAACGAGGGAGAAAAAAACTGAAAAGTTTCGTCATTTTAATCTTCACATTTTTAAGAGAGAGATGGAACTTTTGCGGTCAAAAATAACAAATGAAACTGTCGTCAAAATAAAAAACGAATGAGTGATCGGTATTTTAAAAACGGAGAGAAGAGAAAAGTCGGAGAAGGGGACGGGAAAAAAAGCGTTGACAGTTTTAACAAGGAGGCAAAAATGACATTTTTATGAGGAAGACAGAAACGAGGCCGGAAGTGAGGAGAGTCCGACGTCATTTCCTCTCTCCCTAAAACGACATCTGGTGTGTCCATATTTCATGAGTTTAGATCTAAAAATTCAACAGTCGTCTTCGTGTTTTTCCTTCTTTTTACGTAAGCGTTATAAAAAAAAAAAAAAAAAAAAAGAGAGAGAGAGAGAGAGAAACTGGAAGAAAACTTGTACAGATGTTGAAACGAATTTGCTACAAAAAGAAGAAGACTTTTTGCAAACTTTGAATAGTTGCTAAGCAACGTCCACGATATTCGCTCGGCAACGTGATGCCACTTCATCTTTCTCCATAATTACATGGCCGATCTATTAATAAGGTATAGTCAATTCTTAAAATTTAACATCTTCAAATTACATTAATTTCAGTGTTAAAGACATATTTTTAACAGATTTTAGACAAAAGTAATTCGAAAAATAAAAAATTATTATTTTGTTGTAAAAGAGTGACGTGAATCAGCTCGTATTATATTGTTTCAGGAATTGTTTTAATGCTGTTTGAATATTTTAGTTTCCGGTAGTTTGGCCTAAGTATGAAAAATCGAATGGGAAAAGTAATGAAAGTTAAAATATTCGATTTTTGCGGATCTTCTGAGCTGCACCTAGGGGCTCGCCCCCTTAAAGACCGGCCCCGACACCCGCTAGTTAGTTTCCTAAACATCAAGAAAAATTTGACAAACGATCAGATATTCCCAAAGGCCGTTTTTTCTTAGAAATAAAATGCGCTTGGGAACCGTAAATCATTCTGATAAATTGAAATTCGGACACTTCTAAAGATCAAAAGGAAGGTTTTTATGACTTGCTTTAAATTCCTGGTATCCAATTGGAGTTTATAGATGCAAAAGTCATCCATCGATGATAACAAGTATGATGGAGTATAAAAGAAAATCGTAAATATAGTCGAAATAACTCCAAGACAGATGTAAAGAATCGTCCTGAAATAGGATATTCAAAAGTGAAATATTGGAGGCAACACCAAACTCCTTTCACAAAAAAAAAAAATATTAAAAAAAAATAAATAAATAGAAAAATGAAGACAATTTAGAAGAATTTTTTTAAGTATGAAAATTTCTTTTCGATGATTTCATTTTAATACGTGCTTTGTGAATTTTATTCCTAACTGAAAATAAATGGAGTTTTTTTCCCCTCCATGTATGCAATAACATGGAAAAAAAAGTATATATATTTGTTGAATAAGCTACGATTTAATGTACAATTAATAATTTATATATATGGTTAATGAAAGAGCTTATTTAATTTGTATAAAAGTCTGTTGAATGATTATGTTTAATTCCCAGAATTTATTTAAATGTCAGATATTTATATTTTAAAAACAAAATAATAAAAACAGGAATACTTTTTTTTTCCTATTAAATTAATTAAGATGAAATTATTTCTCACTCGGGCTTTTATTCACTTATTTCTAATTACCGAATCTAATCTTATTTTCTTTATATATATAAATAATTTCTTTTTCCTCCCGAAAGAAATTTTCAACTTAATAAATGTTCACATTTGGGAGCGTATTAAAATTTTATAAATTATATTCTCTAGAAATGATAAATTTCAATAATTTTATATAAGAAAGTTTAATATTTCATAGAAAAGAAAATAGTAAATATTGCGTTATCAGAACATGTTGATATGATTACTCAAAATATATGTATGCTATATCAACACTATATAATCTGAATATTATATAATATACTCAAAACAAAATTTAATTTATTTTTTCTTATATAACATTTTAATTACATAAAGAAAAAGGAAGAAAATATGCAGAATATTCCAATTGAAGTGGTCTGAATTTTTATTTTATTTTATTTTATTTTTATAAATTTGAAAATCTTAATAATGTTTACTAAAGTAGTAGCATTTGTAGTAATAAAAATGTCTGTTTTCATCTTTGATTCTGATGATATTAAAAGTCAATTAATTTGTTTGAAAAAAAATTTAGAGTAGAATTTTTTACTTTATTTATATTATTTCTAATAAATATTCGCAGTGTTTTAGAATTTATTTTAGTTTAAATCAGTCTTAAAAAAATTTTTAAAAATTTAGAAGTTGGTTATTAGATTTATTTGTTCCTTTTTATTTTGCAAATCTTTATGGATAATTCTGTATTTTTCTTCTCATAATTTCCTTTTTTTCCCCCGATATAATTTAGAGTATTTTTCAAAACTATAGACAAATATGTTTTTTTATTTTTATTTTTTAAAAAGATATATCTGTTTATCTGTATCTTCTTCAAACAAATTTCGAGAGTTATCACGCATAAGTTCCAAATATTTATTTAATAATGAATATATAAATATAACTTATTTAAATTAATTAATTACGTGTCTAATAATTGGCAATTAATAAGTTTTTTTATACGTTTGTAAAGAATTATATAAATATGAAACATTTTATCATTATTAAGCTTACTAAAAATTGAAAAAATATGGAGAAATTAAGACGGTAGTGCTAAAAATTGACAAGATGTTCCTATAATATAGGATTTTCCGATCTCTCTAAGGAATATGGGTTCGAATTCAATCCGAATGCTCATAACATCTCATAAATTTCGGCTATGCTGGCTTACTCCGTTGCGGATAAAGTTTATCCTTAATGGCAAAACTGAAACAAGCTATATGAATCACTGTGTGTTGGAATTCTCTTGAGAAAAATCTAATCTAAACCTGTAGATTATCTATAATGCCGAATGTATACTTTTCTGTTGAATGGCAATGAGCCAGCAAATGTTTTATTACTAAATGTTATCTTGTATTTCATATCGTTTGATTTACGGCCGAATTTTTAATATAAATAATCGAAAACATTTCGATTAATCCCGATAATTCAGATATACTTTTCTATTAAAAAAAATATGGAAATTTTATCTTTTTTTTCTTAATTAATAAATACATTATTTTATATTAAGAAAATATTAAAATTCCAAAATGATTATATGATATTTATTCATAAGGCTGTATATTTTCTGTATCAGATAATAGCTTTATCTTTACGTCATAATGTTTCTAAACGGTCATAGAATTAACTCTTTTGCGTCATCCAAGAGGTACTTCTAAAAGTAAGAATGCAAGTCATTATATCCGCTTCGCTTCATAAATACTTACTGCTAGGAAGAATTTGAATAGGAGTCATTTCGAGATTCTATTGATTTTCGTTGATTATTCGACTGGAGACTTTGTATCTCATCACTTACATTTTGGATTCATCGTAAATGAACAAAGTCGAATCCTGAATTCTCATAGAAAACTCAACTCTTTCGACCTCGAATAAATCTATTTATTTAGTTTATTCGGTTAAATTTGTTGCGAGAAACTTTAGCACACAAATATATCTAAAATTTACTTCTTAGGCGAGGGAAATTGATCAAAGAGGAGAATTAAAATTAAAACTTAAATTAAAAATTCTCAGCAAATCAAACTTGAATATAACAAGACGTGGAAAAATTTACGTGCAATTATCTCGTCAGATAAATGGCGTCTTATTAACTTCATACTAAAAGAATACACCAGTATTAAGAGCATTTTTAATATTTTATAAGAGAATTATTTGGCTATCTTTTAACACGTAAAAGTAGTCCTCTTAATCTTCTCGAAAAATAAAGAGGAAAAACAAACAAAAAAATATACAAAAACGTGAAAACATTCTCTAGTGGTTGATGATTAGATAAACATTTTTTCTTCTAGGTAATAACACTGATTATCCCGCTCATGTCGCGCGATACGAATCATCCACCTGCCACGAAACATCCGAGGTTTAAACCCGATCTGGACTTTCATTATTTATCACAGTTCAGTCTCTGGTACAGTACAGTACATGTAGCCGATCCCATAGCGGGTTAAGCCCAACTATAACGAGAATAAATGAGGCCGGCCATGCAACCCGTGTTTTGAAGCTATGCAAGAAAATCCAATTTAATCCTATTCTGTTCAAGATAAAATTTATTATTATATTAAGGTTGAGCAGTTGAATGCTTCTCTGTTTTAGTGAATGCCCGATTAAACATTTTGCTAAAATGATTGAAATTACAGAGATATGTTGTCATTGTATAACCGATGCTCTATATGTACTGGTATATATTTTTATTTTTTATCTTCGGGAATATTTATTTTATTGATTGATGCTATTTATGTTTTTATCGGAAAAAACTCATGTGATGTCACTGCTGCCAAATCATCAGGGAGGAAAAGAGAGAGAGAGAGAGAGATTGCTGACTTTGATAACAAAATCACTAGTGATGTAGTCAGCAAAATTAAGCAAACTATATAGCTAAGCATCAGCTAATACTATTTTCTTCGTATAAAATACTAATTTATTATGTATATTTTTATCACAGTCGACTCACATATACATTTTACAACACAAAAAAATTAAACAGTGAGCTTCGTTTAATATAGTATCCGACGAAAGTATAGATAATCATTTTCGATTATAAAGTAAAAGAAATAATTAAAAATTAATAATGTATAATGTCTTTCGACTTGAGAGCGGTGTAGAATAGAAAATTCACTTTCGCTAGGAGGATCAAAGTTCAATTCATGCTCGAAGAGAACTTTGTTCTTCTACTTCGCTAATGAGCTCTCATTGTGTAAAGCGGAAAGCGGATTAATAACAACGAAAAAAAAAAAAGAAAAATATATAATGATTGATGTTAATTAATTCGAAATGCTACAAGCTATTTTAAATATATAATCAATTAGTAATTTGACTCTTATCAAAAGTAGAAACCTTTCTCGGAGTTTTTTTTTTTTTCTTTTTTCCTAAAAATTAACATATAGGCCTAATACATTGGTGCAATTATTCAATCTTTTACGATAAAATTGTAATGTCTCTCCAATATAATCACTAACAATTACATCTATACAGAAACTACATTTTAATAATATAAAACTTTTTTATAATGTTCGTATGTTCAATCGAACTTAAAGCTTTTTATAAATCGAACATGTCAATAAAGTTCTCAAACAGAAAATAGCCTATAACATTTCAACTTATTTGTTTGATTTTTTTTCGAGTAAATGATTTAAAAAAAAAACGATCAAAATGATATATTCTATTCAAGTTTTGTAAATAAAAATTCGACAAAAGTTTTGACTTATAGATTCACGATAATCTAATGTTAACAGTGACGGATCACTTCACTGTAACATTAGATTGCCCACTTCATCTTCAGTCGATCTGTAAACTTTTCGTAAAAAAAAGATTTAGTCGGATTTTATTTGTAGTCAACAACAGTTCAGTAACGTATTAAAAAAATATTATTTGATATATATATATATATATATATATGCATTAATTTAAAATTAATGAAAAACGTATTTTACATTCGTTGTTTTTATTAAAAATTATTGACGAATTACAGCTGCATTAATTAAGTAAATTATTTAATAAGAATAAGGAAACAAATTCGATTTTATAAGTTAGAAAAATAATAATTTATATATATTATTTTTAATTTTTTTTTTCAAAAAGTACTATTACTAACAGTTTAGATTGAATTGATGGGGACTACGACAACTCAACACTTGGGCGATCTGCAAAAGGGGCTACCACCTTCTAGAAGGACTTTCTATAGGAAACTGACGCCTATTTGTTTTAGACACGCGAATAACACCCGGAAAATATAAGAAACTGAGCCCTATTTATGTATTAGATACGTGAAAAACCCGGAAAATTCCACGTGGCCAATCAATTAATCAGGCGCGAACCCATTACCAGTAGTTTTATCTACTTGGCCTTTATCTTCGTGGCTCCATTACTAATAAAACACAAATAAATAAATATTAATACTTGATAATTATTAAACAAATATAACTTTTACTATTAAGCCATTTTTCGATTAAGAAAACATTCAAATTTAGAAATTAATTAATATTATTTCACGTTTTAAAGTAATAACATTTCAAACATTTTAATGCTTTTAATAGAAAAAAATAATTGAACTTTTGTAGATTTAATATTGTTAAAAAAACAAAACTTACATTGTTTAGCAACATTTAAGATTGGTTAGTTGGTTTAGTGATGTTTAATGGCACAAGGATCACCATGTGCTACACTTAAAATAATCATAAGAAGAAGTTACATTTAAGATAGATAAGAAGAAGATATTTTTAAAAAAAACTTCTTAACTCATATCTTTTAAACGAATTAAAATTGTAAAATATAAAAATTAAAATAAAGTATATTATAAGTCGACTCGTAAACAATATTAAATAAATTGGTATATGAAAAATGTGATGGCAAGTAAAATTTAAAGCTCAATATGAGAGTTTTAAATTGTTGTAAATTGTCTTCTTGA